TTTGTATTGCAGTGATACTGGTTGATTGCTTCATAATCAGTTATTGCCTGCTCATAGCTATTCCGACTCATCACTGCCTTAGATACAGGGTTTCCAAGGCTGTACATCTTTATGGGAACAGGTGGCCTAGACTTTCTCCTTTGGAACTGTTAGTTTGAGCCACCACTGACTTGTAGGTAGCAGCCCATTGCTTACCTGACAGCTGACTCAGGGTTCCTTATACCATGTGCTAAGAATATAAAATGGACAATTACAGTGGGTCTACACACTTGAACCACATGTAGTATATGCACCCATGAGCAGAGTATTTAATAGGAATCCAATAGGAATCCAATAAATATTTCAATTGTTAATTGTGAGGATGGTTACTTTTATGACTTCCAGTCTGAGAAAAGTATACTTACGTAAATTTTGACTATTTTAAAGGGATTTTTTTTTCATCTATCCTTGTACCTGTACCTTTTGAATGATACACCAAATGCATGGTTTACTTTTTTTTTTTTCATAAGAGGAGGGGTTTTGCAGTCTGTATGAAGTCTTATTTCTGTCACTGGAGATTTAACTGTCCCTTTAAAAAATGAAAAAAAATTTTAAACAATTTTGTTGACATAATTTACATAATATAGTCTATTAGTTTGAATATATTAAAAAGTTGTACGATCATCACTATAATCAGTTTTAGAACATTTTATTCTTTCGTGTACTCATTATTGTTACCTCATTTCCTCTTCACCTCCCCTGCCATAAACCCACAAAACTATTAATCCAGTATTTTCTGTATAGATTTAATATCCTGGATTTCATATAGTGAAAAACACAAAAATAAAAAGCAAAAATAATAGATACTCATAAAAATAACAAAAACAGGAAAACCTCAGTTGAAAAGATAACAGAAAATAATAAAAACTAGAATAAAACTTAAATGCTTCAAAAAAGACAATATATGATGAAGTATGAAATTTTATTTTTAAAATCATTTTATTGGGGGCTCATATAACTTTATTTTATAAATCTTAATTTATTTTCAAATATACAAATTTATTTGCTATAATGGTCTTATCTTTTTAAAAAAATCATTTTATTGAGGGCTCATACAACTCTTATCACAATCCATACATACATCCATTGTGTCGAGCACATTTGTACATTTGTTGCCATCAACATTCTCAAAACATTTGCTTTCTACTTGAGCCCTTGGTATCAGCTCCTCATTTTTTCTCCTCCCTCC